GTTCGGATCTGAGCAGCTCTTTCCTCAATTTCCTTTTTGCTGCCAGCGCCTTCCATCACCAAAGTCGAGTCTTTCGTCACCTCCACGCTCTTCGCCTGATCCCAAACCCTAAACCCTAAACCCTAAACCCTAAACCCTAAACCCTAACCCTTGAGCGTGAGGAGCGTAACCCTTGACAAGAAACCCGAAACCCTGGAAACTCGGAAGCAACAGCGGGAACCCCGCAGCGGAAGACCCAAACCCCTAACCCTAAACCCTAAACCCTAAACCCTAAACCCTAAACCCTAAACCCTGAAGTGCTCACTTTGCCCAGCATGGAAACGATGTCCAACTTCTCGTCTCCCACAGACGGCAAGTCGTCGCCCACCACCTAACGCAGTCCTCAAAACAAACCCTAAACCCTAAACCCTAAACCCTAAACCCTAAACCCTAAACCCTAAACCCTAAACCCTAGAAGCACCCCCCAGAGAACAAAGCGCGCAGCCCTCGACAGGCCTCGCGGCCCCTCGCGCAACAGCCCCAACGGCTCCCGGCTGCCCCTGGCCACGGCCAAACCCTAGGGCTTAGGGTTTAGGGTTTAGGGTTTAGGGTTTGGGGGACCTTGGCGCCTGTGAGAGTGGCCAAGTCGTAGAGCTGCGCCTTGCGGCTGTCGCCAAACCCTGGGGACTTCACCGCGCAAACCCTCAAACCCAACCGCAGCTTATTCACCACCAAAGTCGCCAGCGCCTCGCTGCAAACAGCAGCAGCAGCAGCAGCAGCAGCAGCAGCAGCGTGGGCAGCAGCAGCAGCAGCGACAGAGCCGCTCGAGCAGCAGCAGCAACAGCAGGAGCCCTGCCACCTAGGGTTTAGGGTTTAGGGTTTGAGTGTCGACGTCTCCAGCAACAAAGCGGAGCGCAGCCTGGACGAACTCGCGCGCCGGCAGCAGCAGCAGCAGCAGCAGCAGCGCCGCGGCACCTAGGGTTTGGGGTTTAGGGTTTAGGGTTTAGGGTTTAGGGTTTGCCTGTCGACGTCTTCGGCAACGATGAGGAGCGCGGCCTGCTTCTGCAGCACGAACTCGAGGGCGGGGAGCAGCAGCTGCAGCTGCTGCAGCTTCTTGTCGAGCAGCAGCAAATAAGGGTTTTGGAGAATTGCTTTTTGCTGCTGGTTGTCGGAGACAAAAAAGGGACTCAGAAACCCTCGCTCAAACCTCAAACCCTCGACAACTTCCAGCTCGTGCTGCAGTCCCCGCCCCTCAGCAACAGTGATGTTTCCTTCGCGCCCCACTTTCTCAATTGCTGCAGCAATTAGCTGCCCCACTTCTGTGTCTCCGTTGCTGCTGATTGCTGCAACAGCAACTATTTCCTCCCGCGTGCTCACTTCCTTCCGCGCAGCAGACAGCCGCCGCAGCACCTCCGCCACCGCCAGCTTTATCCCTGCAGCAGCAGCAGCAGCAGCAGCAAACGCGGAGCTCCTGCTGCAGCAGCAGCCGCAGCTGCAGCAGCGGCAGCGGCGCCCGCGGCCGCCGCCACGCACCCAAGCGCAGACCGCCAACGGCCGGCAACCGCCGCAAAGCAGCAGCAGCAGCAGCGCAGCAGCAGCGCAGCAGCAGCAGCGCAGCAGCAGCAGCGCAGCAGCAGCGCAGCAGCAGCAGCAGCGCAGCAGCAGCAGCAGCTCGCCTCTGAGGATGTCCATGGGGTTCATGCCCGCGTCGATGGCCTTGCAGCCCTCCTTGAAGATGGCCCTGCCGAGGACTGTTGCTGTTGTGGTTCCGTCTCCTGCTGCATCGTTTGCTGCTGCAGCAACTTGCCGCAGCAGCTGCGCCCCCAAGTTCTCCGTCTTGTGCTGCAGCTCTATGGCCTTCGCCACTGTCACTCCGTCTTTGGTGATTTTCGGGGCCCCGAAGGGCTGCTGCAGCAGCACGTTGCGGCCCTTCGGGCCCAGCGTCACCCCCACCGCGTCCGCCAGCCTGTTGCACCCTGCAGCAGCAGCAGCAGCAGCAGCAGCAGCAGCAGCAGCGGCGGCGGCGGCGGCGGCGGATGGTGCAGGAGGCCGGGAGGCGCCGACGGCACTGCGCAAGGCCGCGGCAACCGGCGCGGTGGGACGGAACGGCAGCAGCAGGTGCTGCAGCAGCAGCAGCAGCAGCAGCAGCAGCAGAGGCAGCAGCAGCAGCAGCAGCAGCGCACCTGCGAGCATCTGCATGCGGGCCTCCGAGCCAAATCGAATGTCTTTGGAGGCGCAGCGGATTTGCTGCAGCAGCGCGAAAGAGGAAGCAGCAGCAGCCTTCCGGCTGCTGCGGGCGGCGGCAGCGGTGGCGGGCAGCATTGTACGGACGGAGGGCTTGTGGGGGAGGGTTTAGGGATTAGGGTTTAGGGTTTAGGGTTTAGGGTTTGGGATTTGCGGTTCGGAGAGCCAAAGAACTCAAAACCCCGCAAGCCTCGGGGCTGGCCCCACAGCGGCGCTGCTGCGGGGCCGTCCCGAGCAGCAGCTGCTGCGGCCCCCAGGAGGCCCCCGCTGCTGCTCTTTTTGCACTTTTAAATCCCAAATTGAATTCTTTTACATTTCTAAACTCATTTTGCTGCTTATTCCCGAAGATTCCGCAGCAAATAGGCCCAAAAAGAGCAGCAGCAGCAGCAGCGCAGCAGCGCGCGCCGCTCCTCGAGTGTGTCTCGGTGGCTGGCGACGCGTGAGGAGTCTGTCCAGCTTCTCGACAACTCCCGTGCTTAATTTCTTTTCTTTTTTATTTCATTTTTGTTATTTTTATTATTTTTATTTCATTTTATTTATTTGTCCCTCGAGAAGTCTTCCCTCGCGCATGCACGCAACCCCAGCAGCAGCAGCGCAGCCGCCGCGAGCACCCAGCCGCAGCCACCAGACGCACAGCGCCTCTCCAAGTTTAGATATTTAAATTAAATTCAAAATTAAAATTCAAATTATATTTTAAATTCAAATTCAAGTAAATTCCAAATTACACATTGCTGTAACCCTGAGCACACAGCAGCAGCAGCAGCAGCAGCAGCACACTCTACGAGACGCAGAGCAGCTGCTGCAGCAACTGCAGGTGCAGCAGAAGCTGTAGCAGCAGCAGCAGCTCGACAGCAGCACGGGACCTGCTCGGCAGCAGCAACAAAAGCACCAGCACCACCAATATTGCTGCTGCTGCTGCTGCTGCTGTGCTGCAGTTACAGTGCTGCTATTGCTGTGCTGCTGCTGCTGCTGCTGCTGTTTGAATATATTTCGCTACCTCTGCGCGTGCCCTATCGACATTTTGGACCCACCCTCATAGCGGGTCTGGCCTCCTCTGCGGCGTGCTGCTGAGGGTTTAGGGTTTAGGGCTGGGGGCTCTACGGTCTAGGGTTTAGGGTTTAGGGTTTAGGGTTTAGGGTTTAGGGTTTGGGGTTACGGTTTAGAGGGGTCAGCTGGGCTGTTGGCAGCTCAACGCGAATAGCAGCAAACACAAAAACGAAGAAGCAAAAGAGTGCCTGAAGCAGCAGCAAAGCACACACCGCATGCATTTGCTGCTGCTGCTGCTGCTGCTGCAGCAACAGGTACAGCAGCAGCAGCTACAGCAGCAGCATCCGCCCCTGCTGCTGCAGCAGCGGGTCCTGCTCTTTCTGGTGGAGCTGTTGCTGCTGCCGCCTTCAGTGATGCTGCGGTGCTGGGTGCCGCTGCTGCAGTTTTGCTGCTGCTAAACTCGCTGCTGCTGCTCCTGCTCCTGCTGCTGCTGCTGCTGCTGCTGCTTCTTACCTTGATAACGGCTCCGCCGTAGAGCTTCAGTACGGGCTTGAGAAGCACCTGGTACGCAGCCCGCAGCAGCAGCAGGAGGCCTTTGCTGCTGCTGCTGCTCTGCTGCTGCTGCTGCGGCTGCTGCTGCTTCTGCAGCTGCTGCAGCTTCTCCATACACGCCTCCCTCGCCTGCAGCAGCTGATCAATCTTGCGCTGCTGCCGGGTGTAGGCGGCAAACTCTGCGGTGGCCGACAGCTGCTGCTGCTGCTGCTGCTGCTGCTGCAGCTGCTGCTGCAGCGAAACCAACTCCGCAAGCAGTTTTTTACCCTCTTCCGTCTCCGCAGCTGCAGCAAACTCGCCTCTGCTAGCGCTGCTGCTGCTGCTGCTGCTGCTGCTCTGACAGATTCGCCGCAGCAGAGGCCCGAAGGGAATTCCAATTTTCTCAAGAATCCTCTGAGTCATATCTGCTGCTAGCAGCAGCAGCAGCAGCAACACGGCCCCAAAGCAGCCGTCGTCGAGCGCCGGAGGCAGCAGGCTGCTGTTGCTGCTGTTGCTGCTGCTGCTGCTGCTGCAGACGCCATTAACTCCACCCAGCTTCAGCGCTCTGCACCAGCGAGGCCCTTGCGAGTCCTTGCAGCCCCCATGCGCCCCTTTATCTGCTGCTGCTGCTGCTGCTGCTGCTGCTGTTTCGGCTGTGTCCTTGGGCCCCTCGCGCAGGGGCCCCTCCTGGGGCCCCCCCCTGGGGGCTTCTAAGCCGGAGGCCCCTGCTGCTGCTGCGAGGGCCAAAAGAGCAGCAGCAAAGAAAAGAAGAAATGGGCTTTTGGGGCCCCGCATGATTGGGGCTGCTGGGGTGCTGCTGCGGTGTGCATACACCTGAAACATGCAGCGGGAGTCGCGCGCTTCACGAAGACTTTCTTTTAATTCATTTCTTTTAAAGTTTTGTCCATTTGATTAAAAGAATGGGAGAAAGCAGCGGCTGAATTGGGGTGTACAGACAGCTCGTGTTGCAGAGGGGGCCCCCGGGGCCCCGCGCGTCGGGGCCCTGTGGGCCACCAAAAGGCTGCAGCAGAAGTTTTATTTTGCATTATTAAATGCTAGAAAAGGTTTATTTGTTTTATATAGTTTTAATATTTCATTTAATTTTAAAAAGAAAGAAAAACGAGGGCCAGACGGCACAGCAGCAGCGCCTCTGCGACCCGCAGCAGCAGCAAGACCCCGCAACCGATTTAGGGGCGTTTGCTGCAGCTGCTGCTTCCTTTTCTTTTCTTTTCACTTTAATAATTTAAATTCTAATATTTTTCATCGGAGAAACGAAAGAGAGGAACGGACGGGGTGTCTGTACACCCCAGCGCAGCGCCCGACGAACACTGGCCAACCGCTGCTGCACGCCGCAGCAGCAGCAGCACCAGCAGCACCAGCAGCAGCAGCAACGGCACAATGGATGCAGCGGATGCGAACATGCAGAAGCAGCTGCAGCAGCAGCTGCAGCAGCAGCAGCAGCAAGAGGAAAAGCGCAAGTGAGCCGGCGCTGCGCTTCTCCGCCACCCGCGCCGCGCTAGGGAATTGAGGGTTTAGGGTTTAGGGTTTAGGGTTTAGGGCTGAGGGTTCAGGGTTTTGTACTCAGGGCAATTGAAGAGCAAAGGAGGATGGCCATGAGGTCTTTGCTCTCGCCGGATGCCTACCAGAGGCGTGAGGGTTTAGGGTTTAGGGTTTAGGGTTTAGGGTTTAGGGTTTAGGTGCACTCGAAGGTTATGGCCCTTCCTGCGTGGGATTTAGGGTTTAGTGCTAAACAAATTGCAGGCAGTGGGAGCTAGGGTTTAGGGTTTAGGGTTTGGGTAGGCAGACGAGGCAGAGACAGAACAACAACAGATACAGCAGCAGCAGCAGCAGCAGCAGCAGCAGCACACAAAGGAAAGGCACAGAAACGGTGGCTGTCCTAACAGGGCGCACAGCAGCAGCAGCTCGAAGTCTTTATCTCTAATTAAATGCATAACAAATGAATAAATAGATAAATAAATAAATAAATAAATAAAAACACTTAATGAGATATTTATTTGTTGCTTCTATTCTGCAGTCTCTCGCATTCATTTGGTGAAGCCCGAAAAGGCGATGGCAGCAGAGAATTATGTTATGCAGGTGCGTCGGGTGTATAGGCACCTCTCGGGTGTATAGGCACCTCTCGGGTGTATAGGCACCTCTCGGGTGTATAGGCACCTCTCGGGTGTATAGGCACCTCTCGGGTGTATAGGCAGGTCTGGGGTGCATAGGCAGGTCTGGGGTGTACAGGCAGGTCTTGGGTGTACAGGCACTTCTCGGGTGTATAGGCATCTCTGGAGTTTGTAGGCACCTTTGGGGTGTATAGGCAGGTCTGGGGTGTATAGGCACCTCTTAGGTGTATAGGCAGGTCTGGAGTGTATGGGCAGGTGTGGGTTTTACTTGCAATTCTAGGGTGTATAGGCAGCTCTGGGCTGCACGGGTTGGCGCAGAGTTTGCGGAATGATCTGGAGTGTATAGGCAGGTCTGGGGTGTATAGGCAGGTCGGGGTGTATAGGCAGGTCTGAGGTGTATGGGCAGGTCTGGGGTGTATAGCCAGGTCTGCGAGTGTGTGTTTGCGTCTTCGCCGCTCCTAATTTTCCTTTAATTTCGCATAAATGTCCACTTATTTGCAAATGATTTGCAAATATTTTCGTTTTTTAAGTGAATTTCCACTTAATCACGCCTTTATATCCCATTTATTTGGCTGGGAGGCCAAGGCCCAACTGGGCTGGGGGCAGCAGTCCTTCAGCTGGGTGTTCATGCGTCGGCGGCGGCTGCAGTGTGCAGCCTTCTTTTCTTCAATGCATTTGTTGTTTTTATTTCATTCGTTTATAATTTTAATTTAATTAATTATCATCAATTTACACTTTCATAAATCATTTCCCGCGCAGAATCCGCAGTTGGCGGTGCCGCAGCAGCAGCCGCTGCTGCAGCAGGGTCTGTCGGCGCCGCTGCTGCCTCCGGGGCAGCTTTTTCTTCGCGTTTTTTGCAGTTTTTGTTGCAATTAAGGTTAAAAATAAATAATTTATTATTTTAATTAATTTATTTATCCTTTTTAATTCATTTTTCCGCCTCCTTGCACTCAGGCAGCCCGCGCGGGGGCCGTCGTGCCCCCCGTGAGCGACGCCGCACTTGTGGGTATTCTGGAGCAAATGAACGAAGCTGAAACCAAAAGCAGGGCCGAGAATAAAGCCGTTGTGGTGAATATAAATTAATTAATTTAATTAATTAATTTAAATAATCTAATTAAAGAATTTAATTAATTAAATTAATAATTAATTAATTACCTTAATTAAAATAATTAATATTTAATTCGTCAAATTAAATAATTAATTTAATGAATTTCCGTTTATTTATTTAATTCAGTTTTCCACTTGAGTCGTGGTTAGGGGTGAGAAAAAGAAATAAAGGAATCCGAAGCGAAAACGAATTTATAGAATTTGAAATAAATGAAACAAATAAAACCAAATAAAAAGAAATAAAAAGAAACAAATGAAGTGAATGAAATTTTAAAGAATAAAAAGAAATGAAAAGAAATGAAAAAGAAGTCAAATTTATTTTGCTGCTGTTGCTTCTGCAGATCCGAAGGCGGAGGCTGGATGATGACGATTCCGATGAAGACATCTAAACCCTAAACCCTAATTCTAAACCCTAATCTGAAACCCTAAACCCTAGACTCAAACCCTAGACCCTAAACTCACACTCTCGTCTTAAACCCTCGACGCTGAGGGTTCAAACTTAACTTCGTTTTGTACTTTTGCTTCTTAACAGTGCCCTGGCTAAACCCTAAACCTCAAGCCCTAAACCCTAGCTCCAAACCCTAAACCCTAAACCCTAGGGGAGGCAGTAGGCGCGAAGCGCGCCAGGCAGAAAGCAGCAAGTAGGGGAAAATGAGGCATGACTAGGGTTTAGGGTTTAGGGTTTAGGATTTAGGGTTTAGGGTACGAAAATAAAAAAAGAAGAGACGAAAAACAAAAAATAAAAGACGGAAAGGGATTAAAAAGAAACGAAAAAGAAACGAAAATGAATTTTAAAAAATGAAACAAAAATGGAATTAAAGAAGATGATAAAAGACACAAAAACGGACAAAAAAAACAGAGACAAAAAGAAGACAAAAAAGAAAGCAATTAAATTTAAAAATGGTAAACAAAAAAGAAATCAAAATATGAACAGAAAGGGGGAAATTAAAAATGCGAGAGGAAAAAGAAAAAATTAAATTAAATTAAAAGAGGAAATGAAAAGACAAAAAAGTGGAAAAAACAGAAGAGACAAAAGGAGTGGAAATAAAAAAGAAAAAAATGAAACAAAAAATAAAAAGAGAAAAAGAATTAAAAGAGAGAATTGAACAAATGAAAAAGATAATAAAAAGACAAAAGGAGCAATAAAAGATAAAAAAGACAATTAAAAAAATAAAATAAACGACAACAGAAAAAATTAAGTAAATGAATGAAGGAATGAAATGCCTCAAATAAGATTATCAGCTCCTCTTTGGGGAGAGCAGCAGGGAGGAACTGCTGCCGCTACAATTTGTGCCGCTGCTGTTGCTGCTGCTGCTGCTAAGGGGAGTGCAGCAAAGCCGCGTGGCCCTTCGGGTGTACAGACAGCTCGCCAGAGAAAGGCCCCACATGTTGCTGCCCGCCTTCTGCTGCTGAGACCAAAAGTGGTCCACTGGGACCAGCAGTGGACCAGTGGTCCACTTCCAAACGGCCACCTGCTGCTGCTGCTGCTGCTGCTGCTTCCCCAGAGGGACTGCAGCACTGCGGCCACCAGCCGAGCCGCCGCCTGTTGCAGCAGCAGCAGCAACAGCAGCATATGCAGCAGCAGCAGCAGCAGCAGCAGCAGCAGCGGCTTGTCCTCCGCCTCCTTCAACTCGCCCTTGCTGCCTCTGAGCCATTTCAGGGAATTCTTATTGGGGCCTTGAGGAGGAGCTGCAACGCTGCTGCTGGAGGCTGGGGGGCAGCCATTAGAAAAAAGAAAAAGGATCTTGAAAATGGGAGTCCCGAAGGCAAAAAAATAGATCCTCAATCCAACTTTTTGGCAAAAATAAAAGAAAAAAAAAGAATTTATAAATGGGAGTCAAAAAAACGAAAAAAAGATCCTAAAGTCGACTTTCTGAGGTGTACAGACACCCCAGAGCAGCTACCGCGGCGCTCCCGCGCCGCCGCGAGAAAGCGCGCAGCAGAAAAAAAGCAAAAAGTGTAAAAGGAAAGCTTTTAAACATTTAATTTAAAATTAAATACCATTTTAAAGATATATTTCTCAATTTCCAGCACACGCAGGCCCTTAATGCCCCGCTGCAGCTGCGGGCGGGAGGATCGAAGGTGACTCGGCCTTCCTCTTTGTCTATTCCTGCATTCCGCGGCTTATTTAGCTGAAATTTATGTTTTTAAATAAAAAAATATGATTAAAAAAACAATTTTGAAACTTTAATGCAGAAAAATAAATTTATTTTGCTCACTTGTTGAGTTGTGCAACAAAGAAGGGTTGGGTGACGTTTGCTGCCAGTGCAGTGTCATCTGCTCCTCAGAAGCTTGCTGCTGCTGCTGCTGTTGTTGCTGTTGCAACTTGTACTGCTGCTGCTGCTGTTGTTGCTGTTGCAACTTGTACCGCTGCTCGTGCTGCCATTGGTGCTGCTGCTGCCACTGCTGCTTCTACTGCTGCCTCTACTGCTGATGCTGCTGCTGGTGAGTCACCAGAAGGGTGGGGCCCCTTGTGTGGGGTGTTAGAGGCCCCCGGCGTCTCTGGCTCTGCAGCGCAGCAGCAGCTAAGAGTCACTTCGCCTTCAATCTTCCCTTAAG